TTAAAAAGCACCGCGGATATGTTTTTGTTTTTCAAAGCACGTAACATCTGTACGGCTTGAGAGACACCAATTTCATCATCCCTCTCTGAAATACCAATCTGTTCATCACATGCGAGTATAATGTCTTCTGACATCTGCCCACTTACAATCCTTTCCAAACTTGCTGAAAAGTAATTTACTTGACAAAAGAAAAAAACTCATTTAGTGACTGTTAACAATAAATAGTCTCATTATGTGCATACATAAATGTTCATACTTTCCAAATTTTTCCTCTTTTAAAATTTTGGGCTTCCTTCAAGGATGAAACGCAATTAACACTAGTAATTAGATCAAAAAACGATAATTACTATACAATAAAAGATACTAAACGACAAAGAATCTCATGCTAATGACAAAAATACCCAAGATACGCACCAGTTTCCATCTGCCATATATAAACAGTTTCATCTTCACATTTCAATAATAAAAAATCATCTAAAGGCCGCCACTTTACATCCACTATAGGGAATGATTGTCTGCTTGCTAAGAGTATGCACTTTAATTCCTTTAATGAAAATAGCGCGGCTGAATTATCTCCTGCGATTGAACAAATTGTGTGAAGAATTCTTGGCTGAAACAAATTGCATGGAGAATTCTTGGCTGAAACAAACTGTAAGGGAAATTCTTGGTTAGTATTCTAAACTATCATGGCAGATCTAATAATGATAGAATATAAGACTCACGTTACATGTTTCTGGAGGAATAAGCATCCGTAGTATAGGACCTCCTTGGGAACAAAATCTACATAATTTCGATCCAGTATTTACATTCCATGCTATAACCGTGAAGTCACTGGATCCAGAGATTAATATTTGCTGATCATATCGGGCATGTTCCTCATGTGGGTAAAGGAAACATGTGACAGAAGAAGAGTGCCCATACAATCGACGATAACTGAGCTCTACAATAGCTTGTTTAAAATGTGGAAAGTTGTTAATAAATTCAATTTCATAACGAAGTCATTCAATACTGTAGCAAAATTACAATAATAACCTTCATCACTTGTTAACAGCTGTTTTGAAATGACGTCACAAATGTAAAGTAATAATATGATTCCATCAGCACGTCCAATCACAAGACGGCCCTGGCTACTTACATAATGAGTAGCTGTTATTTCGCAGTCATCCTAAACTGAAAGGAGTTGTAGTCATTTTCAAGACTTTAACATAGTAAGATCAAGCAACAAATGTGACATACTTCTAGATCACATATGGATGGTGGCAGACTTTTCAAACTTTTCCACTGACAATCTATGCTTGTTTCCAGCTCAGGATGTTTAATTGGCACTCCATTTTGTGATTCCAACAGTAAGGAATCATCAAGATTCCAAAGCGCTACGTTACCTTCCTTATCAGCTCGGCAAATAATATGAGTGTTCAGCTGCCTTCCAAAGCAAAAACTTATGTTATCTGGCCACTGGAAATAGCAACATGAAAGTCAGTTAAATCCGGATTATTATCTTTAACTAAAAACATGACGTAACTATAAAAAAACTAGATTGTATAATCCAGTAACATTATTATTATTACCAGGATATAATTGGTTGGCGAGGTGCACTGAAGAATCATTAGAAGAGATGGCTGACAACTTTCAATACCGCTGTTCAAAACGCCATGGGTTCTGAATAAAATAACACGGTTTCCAAAAAAGAGTATGAAAATAAACATTTCTTACTAAGTTACGGATATAAATTCTGTTCATGGTTTCAAACAATATACATAGTGAAATTGAATTTACTGGAAAAATATCAGCATATTTTTGAAATGGAGAATGAAAACAGATAAAAATTAAATAGCCGGTACTGATAATAAACCTTTCGTGATAATACAATGCTTACAAACGAGGAAGCTGATAAATACATATTGTATCATCCCCACGAGCTATTGCAGTACGTTCTCCAGGTAATAATTTTCCATCACAAATCTGTTCATCAGAAAAATACGCAGCTAAGCGATTTAGATCAGCCAGTTCATATATATGAAAGATATAATAATGGTGGATTAACACAAATATACAGTGAATCAAAAAACAAAAACCAGAAAAAAAATCAATTGAAGCAATGAAAAATTTATTAGTCTATTTTTCTATATTGTTCACTCTGTCTTCCACTCTACAAGTTTTATTTTCTAAGTTGAATCTTGTTCTAAACTGATCTTTCTATCGTGTTATTATAAATTAAACAAGGATTTCGATTATTATTTCAAACTAACCTGCCATGAATTAGAAGTAAAAATCAAAAATCTAGAAAATGAAGAAGGATGCCACGAAACTGAACAAATCTCACTCATCTCTAAATTTTTCGACTCTGTCTCATATATGGGTGATTCCTGCAACGTTGATAGAAAATACATAAACTTAACATTATGAGATCAAAAGTTTAATTCTCACTAAGTAACATCAAATAGTTAATGTCTTTAAAACAACATCAAACTATTTTGTATCAGAAGCCGGCACAACTGAAATAGTAAAAAAAAACTTATCACTTACGCAAAATAAAAAATAAATAAAATAAAACCTTCTTATCTAGATCAACCAGCGTCCAAATTTTGACCATACCACATGTCGTTAACCCCAAAACAGTATCTTAAATGAAATAACAACAAAATACCTCCTATAACTTGTGAATAAAGCCAAGTTCCTTTCCTACTTGCCCATACAAAACGTTTCTTGCTTCTAAAAATTCATAATTCGTTGACAGCTTGTTAAAAAGCATAGACTTATTCACCTGGTTAGCCCACTTTTTGTCACTAAACTTATTCAGTGGATTAGTTTTATTAACATGATCTCTGATCTTTTTTAATACAACCTTGTCATTGAAAAGTTGAAGGACAATGAACCAGTTCAACTTTTATTTACATCCCTTAATTTTTTTAAAACCACGTCTTAAATAGGTTTTTCATTTATTAGTAAATTTTAAAGAATATAAAGTTTGAATAAAAGTCCAAAAAACAACTTCCAATTTACTTCTGCTAAAATGCACATCAAATCATTACAATGACATCCACCACTAACTGAATCCAACCTTGTTTTGTCGGGAGAGTTATGAAAGTGAATGCAGCTATCCAATCAGGATCCACTCGTGAACTCAGTGTAAAAAGTATGATCATATCCTGAGGGTTAATTACTACTATTTCTGAGTAATCTCCCATGCAATACAAATTGTATATATTGAAAGAATCACTGGTGTTTCGCTGAAAAATTATGCTGCTTATCGAGTTCCACTTTGTGACTTGAAAGAAATAACTAAATGCGTCAGAAAGTGAAACAAAAAAAATCAACATTACGATTTTTATCCACTGAAATCTTTTCAGGGAACGATGATGACATGGCTAACTTACATGAAGCATAATACGTCGATGAATGTATGTTGTAAAAATACTATCGATACTTCGTCCATCTACACCGTCCCACAGCGTTAACTGCCCATCTGCCGAAGCACTTACAAATCTACTGCAAATTGTTTGCATACACAGAAAATAAATTCTGAATCTATGAAATGACTGTTCATATAAAGCATCTTAAACAAAATGTTAATCTCTTTAAGACGTATAAACTTTCACAAATATTACGTCAAATTTTCAGCTGAATCAGTGGCTGACAAAGCAGTAATGGAGTTCTCGTGTCCAATCATCATCATTTTTGCCCGTAAATTTTTATCACACTTTTCCCAAAAAATTAAATTACCATCTTCCGCACCTAAAAAAATGCATATTTTTGCATCTTTAGTTTTCATTACTTTGAAATACATTGACAACGTGTTATCACTATTTACCAGACTTATGGCAGATCTCATCAACACAGATTTATAATAATACAGTTGATGATGAAAAGTAGAAATTTCATCGCAATTTTCACCTGTGATAATAGTTTTGCCATCTTTTGAGCACTGTATACACGTAATGCGATGTTTCGGTGGTTTTTTCCCCCAAAGTGCTACCGCAACAGTCAAGTTGGAGTAAGTAGTGGATGTCATAAGCCTATAATATGAAAGAAAATTAAGGTAAACATTAACTAATAAGCACTGCAATAGTAACTAATTTAAATTATCATTCATTGTAATATTATTATATATCAGTGGTAATATCACTTCCAAAATATTATTGTAACAATACTTTATGAAAGACAGTAGCAATATTTGGGAAAGACAGTAGCAATATTTGGAGTGTAAAAACAAATTATTACTCTATGTCAAAATGTTTGAAAACACGAACACAACTCTGAAAAAGAGGTCATGCAAAAATATAGACAGAGCATTAAATCGTAAACAAGGCATATTTGTTAGTGCACTACAGAGTGCAACAACATATGTATGATCTAAACAAACTTTAATGTCCGATATTCATTTCCAGAACAGTTCTCGACAATTTCAATCTCACTACTTTTTGGATTAAATCTATTTGATTGAAAAATAATTCAGTGTTTCTTAATGTCAGCTCAGAGTGCCTACTTCGATGAGACAACATATTTCATTGTTCATTGCATAATGCGACAGATTAATGTATTGGAAGAATCACTGAGAGGAGAAAACATGTAGAAAACATTGCGATAATCTGATAGATACAGACGAAATAACTATGATTAGACATTCTCATAAGTGATGAAAAGGCGACAGGGAAAAAAGAATGAAGTGTTTGAAAAAAAGCGATAAATGAAGGAAATCAGAGATTGAGACGCATAAATACAGTAGGCTTGAAATACGTGTGACGTATGGGATGTGTGACTTACGCTTATTTTTCAGCACTTGCAATACAATTTGATCCAGTGTCGTTTCGCGTGTTTTGTTGATTTTTCACGCATGCAACTGAGATAAAACTGGAAGAGCGTAGTCACATATTCCGTATTTAATTCCTATTGCATAAAAACGAAGCAACTTCATTCAGTTCCGACTGTTAAAGTAACGCTGGATTCAGATAGGCTCAAGTTGTGGATAAATTAAAATTAAAATCTGCCGAAATTTGAGTTTTGGTCTCTTATTGTGGATGTGTGGTCTGTTTTTGTTTCATTTTTAACAAATTAGTCGTAAATTTTGATCAGTTTTCTATGCAGGTCAACTTGATATAAAAAGATTGCTGTGAAAATGATGGGTCAAGTATCTAACGAGAGACAAGCTATACCAATTTCCGATTTGAGCGTCGATCAACTTACTTATTTACAGCGGCAGCTTGATCAAGAAATTAATTTTCTTACTGAGTCTTTGAAGGTTACTTTTTTTCAACTTTGCAACAAGGTTCATATATTTGTTTTGGTTCAAATAATTAGAATAAAAATTATCAAAATTAGTATTTTTTTCAAAGATTTCGTTCCAATTTTTTTTTTGTAACGAAATCTTAGAAAAATTTTCTAGTTTTGAAGTAAAGATTTTGTTATGATAACTGACCAAAGTCTGAGACCGCTTTTTTTAAGACGTTTCATTTCCTCTAACAATTTTTGGTTCCTATTTAAAATCATGCAATATATTATAATGCTGTGTGGCGCAGGATTTCTGGAAAAAAAATTGGTAATATAACCATGTTCTTATCAAAATTGATTAGTCATTTTGTATCAAAGCTAGAAAAGCTGCGTTGTCTGTGAAAACGAGGTAATTACAGGAACTTAGAGTTTTCGAATCGAAATTTGCTGCGAGCGAAGAATCTGTTGATAAAGTTAATAAAATTTCGAAGAGTAGCGAAATTTTGGTGCCACTGACAGAATCAGTAAGTCATATCTTTCTCTTCCGTCAGTTTAATAATTAGAAATTTTTAACTGTTTTCCCAAACTGCATGCAGTGGTTGGTTTCTATATTATGACATGAAAAGATTTAAATTGACTTTTTATTTTGTATTTAGATGTATATTCCTGCAAAAATAGCGGATCCTGAAACTCATCTAGTTGAAATCGGTACTGGTTATTTTGTGGAGATGAGTACCGCCAAAGCAGTAGATTATTTTAGGCGGAAACAAACTTTTTTGAAAAATCAGGTCAGTTTTCTAGAAATAGTTAAACTTCGTCATTCTAATAAGTAGTCATGTCAGTGTACAAATAATGAATAGATATAAATAATTTTTATATGTCGCGGCTTTCCCAAGATGCTAGGTGGCTGTGTTCAGAAAGCATAAAATGGGGAATAAAATGAAATAGTCTGCATCTGGAATCGTAAATTAAAACAATGAAGAAACAGATGAGTTGAAAAAAGCGATACAAAAGGTGGCGGTTCCAACTGATCAAGGAATGCGCATAACATGTCATCTGTTATTTAAGGATGATCTCAAGATCTTCGCGACCAATGAGGATATCACGAAATCTATGGCAGAAGAAGTTGATAAGTTTCTTGGTAAAACTAGAAGTAAACACCGAGGTATGCGCTGATAAAGCGGCGCTATTGGAAGGACTAGTGCATCTACCTGTGAAAGCTACGATAAAGTCCGTGCAGAGATTTTAGTGAGAATTGAGTGGTTAGCCAGAACTGCACTAAATGGCAAGAACTTTATTAGGGCATTGAATGAGCACGCCATAAGTTTAATAAATTATACATCGTAGTGCTCAAGCTGAAGTCAAAGCTGTAGACCACGATATCAGTACTATAGAAATACGGAATTCCCAAACAACCTGCATGCTTGGAAAGACTGCATCTACCAAGGTAGGAGTTAGGATGTAAACTTCATAATGTTGAGCAGAAGAGTGAGCTTATGCTTCTCCAACTATATAATGTTCTTGTAGATACCGCACCTATTTGTACCAAAAATGCAGCGATTCTGAAGCAGGAGAAAGCTCTTGGCAATTATTGTACCCTATCGAAAGACTAAATACAACCTCGCTGAAAATCTTACCGTTGAAAACGTATTAGCAGCCCAGAAGGCGTTCTTGTATAGCGCAATAGAAAAGAAAACCCACCATGCAAAGCTATACAAGATAAAATCTCGTCCATACACCTATGTTTCCGTATCGTAGATATATTCATCAATATATCTACGATACGGAAACATTACCCAGCAAGATGAAGCGCAATACTAACCTTCAAGATGGGAATATTTGGGGCTGAGAAAGATTAAATGCCAACATTGTAGGGAGCGTGTGAAGACGGTGGACCATTTAGCAACACAGTGCGAAAAAAATATGCATCACTATTGTATTAGAAGACAGAATGAGGTCCTACAATGCAAATATTTGGGATTCTGCAAGTCTGGTAGCATTAACGCGCATGCGAAACAGAAGCTTGTCGACGAATGATAACGTTGAGATCAAAGTTGATGCGCGAGTGAGAGCAGCTATAAAGCTAGTTGTGGTTCGACCATATCATGATCCACGATAGGAAGCGATAAGAAGTAATCCTGATAAAGTTTGGGTATCACTAGTCAGGATAGTTGACAGCAGTCGAGACAGTAGGGATAGTAACGAACTTCCTTAAAACGCTGCGCGAAAGAAATCAGTATATCTGGTCCCGTCGAGACATATATTCAATTCATAGTTCTCAAGAAGACTCGAAAGCATCTCCTTCAATAATCGATATACATTTCACGAGGACAAAACGAAAACGATCAGTGCAACAAAACTGAGCGTGGGATAAGTACTTCAGCCAGAGTTCCTGAATACGATCCAGCGCCAGAATCATTAATACGGAAAAGAAGATTATATATATATATATA